AAACAAATCAGCACGAATGCTCCTTAGATGTCAGGATGGTAGGACTTCACCGCAAGTACTCTGGACATGTCCTTGTCCCTTGACTAGGACATCTTGCTTGATGAAAGAGGAAGACCTTCAACAAGATAGACTGACACAGGGGTTGTAACAATGGGCTCACACATCGGAACAAGGGTGAGACTGGCACAGGACAGAGCTATACATACACAGGGTACATAGGGTATGTTCACAGGTGTACACAGGGCACAGTTTAGGTCTCTGCATAGGTAAGGATTATGTACATGGTATCTCTGTGAGTCAGCATGGGATACACATTGATGCAGTTTTAAGGTATCATTTTATATCTGACTGGTTTTTATTGTTACCATTTTTTTATCTAGATGTTGGTTTGCTTTATAATATGACATAATAATTAGGAGGGGTTATTCTTTATTTTGTTTTCTAAGTACTGACCCATAGGGTGACTCATAGTCCTTATAAAAACTCAAGAAGGAAGATCCAATTATTTCCTCTACTTTACAGAAACAGTTGAAGTTAAGCCTATTGTGGCTTAAATTAGAAGCTTAAGCAGCTTTCCTGAAGTTATCTAGCCAACAAGCGGTGACCTCAGGTAGTCTGATTCCCAAGCTTTAAACCTCTAACTATATTGCTCTGTATAGTCAAGTGGGGCTAAGGTACTGAAAACTGGTACAGTCCTGTGGAGAGCCATGAAGTCATGTCATCCCTAGAGTCAGTGTGATCCTCAGGCTCTGGAGTAATATACCGCTGAGGACTTTTCTAAGGAAAGTTCTATGCAGAAGAGAGAGAGCTACACATATAAAGATATTAACATTTGTAACTTGGCAGTTGCTCTACTAAACCCCATGAGGGTGAGTCTTGTTTGAGTTGTGTGGCCACTGCAGTGGATTAGGGAACCCAGCAGAGAAGTAAGTGCCCAAGAGAAACTGCTGGTATCAGAAGTGAGTGAAGGAGGTTGAAGGTGGGAGGCATGTCTGACCTCTGCCTCAGAGGTCTCATCCTCTGTATTCTCCTCCCCTCTGTAGCCGTAATAGGTCAGACAGGGCCTTCATGCCGTTTCTCCACTCTTAAATCTCCGTCTGGGGAAGGGTCGTGTTTCTATAGCTAAGTTCCATTTACATGAAGAGTTGTTAGTTTTGTTTTTTTTTTTAAATCAGCAGCAAAATAATGTAATGTTTATGATTTGATAGAAAACACCCACACATCTAGGACATGTGTTGGTGTTCTATAGTGGCCATCTCTACATGGTGGCATGACGTTGTATCCTTGTCCACTCCTCTATGCTATTTGTGAATTTAGTGTTCTCACATGTATTCATTTCTAATCATTTTAAAGTTAAAATATTTAGAGAGATACAAGTCTTAGGTAACAGCTTCATAATTTCTTCAGAATACGGGATGATGTCCTCACATGAGGGGCCTTCAAAATGTTTGTGCAAAACTGGAATTAAAAGGTAATGGATCTGAAATATAAAGCCCCAACATAATTTACAATGAAATCTGTTACTTAAAAAAAGATAATTTTCTGTAGCCTCTCAAGCTTTCATATATGATATATCCTATCCTCAGAATTCACTATTCTGTTCTTTAGACTAGATTCATTCTCAACAATTATATCTGATGCCAACAGCCTAACAATGACTCATTGAGAACAGATCTACTTATATTTTATGCACAAGGCCAATACTTGCACAGACCAAGGCCCAAAGAATTCATGTTAGTAAGGCAGCATCATTCACAAAAGGCTTCATTACATGCACTTCAATATCCTTTCCTCACATAATACTTCTTACTTGAATTCTGAAGCCTAATAGAGCTTAGAAAGTATTAGCCACGTACCCCAGCAAAAGAGCGATAGCAAAAATAATCCTATTATGTAGTACTACCGAACTTGAGCCCCAGAAAATAAATTATTACTTTTAATATGCTTCATAAAAGAGATGGATGAAACTTTCGTTACATCTGAAAATGACGAGGCCAAGAAAACACAAAGATGAGAAAAGAATGAAATTTTAATTGGAAAAGAAAGGAAAAAACATTAGAGAGGTTTGTAGGGAGAAAACGATCCCATGGTAGGAGAAGTTGGATCGTAAGCAAAGGTTTTAAGTCTAGCATGGCCAGGAGTTCCTTCCCATAGGGATAATGATGACGTGAATGTACACATGACAAAATGACAGGCATAACACAGTGATGGGAGAAGATCAGTGCAATTACAACAGAAAAGAGAATGTTAATGTGGAATGGTAAAATCAACAAGTGAAGTCTTTAAAACTGGGAGGGAATTTAATACAGCTGGTGTGATTGAGAAGTATAGGTACATACGAAGGGCGGGATGCTGTGAACATCTTTGATGTCCTATCACTCGTGTGCTAACGTGAAAAGCCTTGGGCATTAATAAACAGACTAATATACTCACTTCTTCAACTTTGACTGGCTAGTCGTGCCCAATCTCAACCTGGCATTGGTGCAGACCACAGATAAACCATAGCATCCCCCACCCCCTCCTGTGAGTTATTAAAATTGAATTTAGCAAATGGTGGCAGTGAAGCTGTGCCATCTCTCAAGCTTCCTCTCCTCTGCTTGTGTCGGGAATGATTTTTATTCTCAAACTCCGTTTCTTCCTCAAAAGAGCTCACCAAAGTTGTCATCCTTCCTATCAGCAGCCTGGCTGGGCTGTGGTGAGTGACATCCAGACATTTAAACTCAAAAGCTGCTTCAGAAGGAGTTATTAAAATTCAAATGAGCTGGGTATCTTGAAGAAGAAAACCCTCGTTTGCATGCACACCTCCGCATTTGGCCATCCCATTTAGCCCCACAGAGCAGGGCTGGTTTTGTTTTTGTAAATGGGCTTCCGAGGCCGAGGTCAGCCTCCCACGGCCCCCACTCCTCTGGGGTCATCATTAGTAATGTGTGAGGCTGAATAGATTTTCTTCGCAATCTAGCCAGCAAACCTGACAAGAAGGCAGCCCTCTCCCACAACCTGAAAACGCCAAAAATCCGGTTGGTAATATGGCACGTTAAAAACACTTCATTCATTTGCTGGAAAAGATCTCCTGGCAAAACTGTACATAACATCACTGACTCCAGGTCCACCTGATTTTTCAGCATCAGAGCAGAACGTTCCCTGTTGTGCCGTGATGGCAAGCTTAGAAAAATGTTCTCTTTAACCAGGATTCTTCCCATTGGACTTGGAGAAAATTCCTTTCTGCCAAGCCAATAACAATCTGGGAGCCAATATAACCAAATGCTATGTTATTCACCAGGAAATAAGACAAATGGATCTGTCATTTGACTCTAAGAATGTTTACCTCCTTTCTCAAAGAAATCTCGCACACTATCATCATTTAAAATTTCTGTAACATATCAGTGTTGCATAACATTTCCATAACAGAAAAAACCAAATTGTTCCCAGATTTGTTTTGGCCAGGGCCATTTTAGATGCTCCTTTAATAAGAATTTATGTTCTTATGAATGACTACATCTCTATTGTATCTATTGTCCACAGTTTTAATTTATAGCAAGCAGTTAAATGGCCCTTGGTGAAGCAATGGTTAAACACTCCCCTGCTAACTGAAAGGCCCTTAGCCGTTCTGTGGGAGAAAGATGTGCACTTCACGTCCATAACGACGAAAAGCCTTAGAAATCCTGTGGGGCAGTCCTACTTTACTGTAATTAACTGACTACACATTACATGTAACATATGTTTATATACACTTAACAGATGCATGTGTAATGCACAACAATGAGCATAACCATCTATTAATTATTACTTGGGCTGTGTAAAAGTAAATGATGCCAACTCATGACTCAAGGGTAACAGCACCGTGTCTAGAACTCCAGGGCCTTTGTTTCTAGGCTATCACAGTGGTTAATAACCTAGAAGCGCTATTGGTTTTATCACGGGATCCAGACCATGCGACCTTCAACGTACCCCTCCGATGTCAGACTGTCTTCTTACTTAACCTTCATTCATCGAACTTGGTTTCTCTGGATTACTTCTAGCTTGGGGTTTTAATTTTCTTTAGCTTCTATCTTTTAAGATTGGAAGGGTCTGGCTGTCATACAGACTCTGGCTCTACCCAGACTGACCTTCCCAAGGAAGGGCAAAACGAGCAAACATCTCACGAGAGGACATTACATCAATGAAACTGGTTCCTGAGCCGCGGTAGTTCTGACTCATGTTTACCTTAACAACTCTGTATCTGTGCATCATTCGAGTGTCCACTCAGTCGTTTACATGGCACCATCCTGGCTGCAACTCAAAACAAAGGGCACTCAATCCCTGCCTTCAAGTTGGGCTCTAACGTGGGTAGCAGTAATACAGAATCACGAGGAGACAGATGCTGACACAGAAGAGCACCGGCTCAAAGAAGCCTCTGGACTTGGTGAGTCCAGAAACACCAAGTGCTCATTCGAGCAAGATGCTGGGAGAACACCCACTTCAAGACAGGTCCTAGGATGCAAACGACACCCCCCCCCCCCCCC